TGGTACACCTAGCTCCAAGGTTTTGCGCCTCATCCCTGTATGCTGACTCTTTATTGTTGGAGATCAGGCCCATGACTGTGTCATCTGCGAACTTAATGACAGTGTTTGTTGTATGGACAAGCTGACCGTCATGGGTGAAGAGTGTATATAGGACAGGGCTCAGGACACACCCCTGAGGAACACCACTGTTCAGAGTAAAAGTAAAGTATGTTTGTTTTCCCAGCCTGACAATCTGGGCATGGTTAGTCAGGAAGTTCAGAACCCAGCTGCAGATGGTTGTGTTTAGGGCTACTCCATGAAGTTTGGACACTAGGATTAAGCTCTGACTTATTATAAAAAACACTAGAGGCCCTTGCATGTAATCACATTCACTTTGTCTCCTTCCCACTTGCATATAAATACAATCAGGATATGTATAATGGGCCATCATGCTAATGACGGCTTTCAAATACAGCTGAACAGTTTGTAATAATAAACTCCTCTTCGTTAGGAGAACACACTCAATTGCTTTCACTTAGACGGCTCTACTCTCAGCTGCTGGTCTTATTTCACACAGTGTATTCAGATGCCACAGTACCTTTAAAGAAAAGCGGGAAGAATGTGAAGAAGCAGCAGTTTAATTGGGCATGCAGTAGCACAGGATTGCAGTTTGTCAAGATACAACGTACATCAATAAGTGATGATGTTCTATGGGCTTGCAACACTCACCATGCTCATGGATATTTACGCAATGTGGATAGGCTTGTTGGGTTTCCTGTGGGACTGAGACTGAGCTAGTATTTTGTGTTGCTGAGATTTTGTTTATGTAAATCTCTGCCACAAATGACATTGTTTCTTCTTATCATAAATCTACTAAACTGCTAAATGACAAATTGCAAATTTGGTACAGGTGAAGTTTGAGGGAAACCACTGCATGGATGGGCACACTGTTTTGGTGTGAGTGTTTTCACACTGCACAACATAGAAAGGTACAGTTCCTTGATAAGGCATGTTAGTGACAAACAACAGTGATTGCTTTTGCCTGCGAGCTGTTCAACTAACTGTGGCTGTGACTGCTTGTGCCATTCCTCCCTGCAATAGCAATAAAGCAGATCCTCTGATTAAATAGCACAGAATATGCCCATAGCTGGTTGCTTAGACATTCCTTTAAAGAAAAATAGCACTGCTGATAAAACTCCATCAAAATCGTAAAAAGTACATAACGTCTTGACCAAAAAAGGCATCCCACTGGTCTGTAAAACAGGAAAATCAGGAAATGTTTTCTTTTGCACCAACTGTAGCTTCACAAAGCTGTCTAAAGGCAGTGAGTAAACAGTAGAATAAAGGGCCTTTCACACAGGATGCTGTGAAACCCATTAATTTCAGTGGCTTGCGCAGCGTAACGGCGCTGCTGCCAGCAAAGCACACATGCAGTGCAGTGCGCAGGTCGAGGAGGTTGCAGGCTCATCGCAGTCAAAGTTCAGTTATGTTGAACTCTGACCCTTGCGTGATATTATATATACAATCTTACAACTGTAGAATTTCATTTTGCAGACACTTTTATCAAAAGCGACGTACATCTGAGAGTAGGTACAACACAAGCAAGGATCTAGTCAGGAGAAACAACCTGGATAAGTTCAAGTGTGATCGGACATGGATGCCAATAGCAGACTGTGTGGGAGGTAATAGGAAATGTTTTTTCTCCCCCCCCAGTCTGTCAAGTGCAGTGGTGTTCAGTGAAAAGCTGGGTCTTTTCTTGAAGACTGAGAGGGACTCTGCAGATCAAGCAGAGTTTGGTAACTCGTTCCACCACGAGGGAACCACAGAGGAGAAGAGTCCAGCTGTCAACCTTGGGCCCTGTTGTGATGGTTGTATCAAGCACCTTTTGTTGACCGAGCATAGTGAGTGTAGACCCGAATGACAGAGTTCAGGTAGGAGGGAGCTGTTCTCATTGTAGTTTTGTGGGCAAGCGTCAGAGTTTTGAATTTGATGCAGGCAGCAACTGGAAGCCAGTGAAGAGATCTGGACAGTGAGGTGACGAGCTTTTTTTGGATGGTTGAAAACTAGACGTGCTGCTGGGCTCTGGATAATCTGCAGAGGTTTGACCATGCATGCTGGGAGGCCTGCCAGTAAGGAGTAGCACGGTTCGGACACTTCTCCCCTCCAGGATGCTCTGAAATATCTCCCTGAGAGGTAAAACATAAACCAGCGGAGGGCAGATCCTGAGATGCCAAGCTCAGTGACTGTAGAGAGGAGGATGTGGAGGTTAACCGTGTCAAAGGCAGCTGACAGATCTAACAACAAAAGAACTGAAGACTGTCCAGCAGCTCTTGCAGAACGCAGTGATTCTGTTATAGATAAGAGTGCAGTCTCAGTAGTGAGATGCTGTTTAAAACCAGACTGACACGTCTATACTGTATAAACCATTAGAAACAAGGCATCTTGCCTGGGACGGAGGACAAAGTGAAGGAAAAGCTTCCTTCTGGAATTATGTGTCACATTATGAATTATCTCATTATGTGACACAACTTTGCGGTTGTATGGAAACATGGGGAGGATAGCCTTTGCTTGAAAACAGGTTTCCGTTCAAGTTGGCATACCAGGTGTGTTTTACCAGTTAGAGTTTACTTTTTAGAGATATGTGGTTAACAGAATAGCAATGCCACCAACATATTATCATATCATATTGTTTGGTTTGTATTGTTTGTCTGTTCTCCATCTGCTATCCTGCTATCCCCACCCCAAACCCTCCTACTATCCCCCACTCCAAACCCCCCTCATCCGATCTGGTTGAGACAGATGGTCACCTTCCCTGAGCCTGGTACTGTTACAGTTTTTTTTTTTTTTCCTCCTCGTTCAATGGGGGAGGGAGTTTGGTTCCTTCCCATTATCGCGGACTGCTTGCTCATAGGGAATCCAAAGGAAACTTTGAAATGTTGGTTTCTCTGTTCTTTGTTCAAAATTTGTAAGGGTTCACCTTACTATCTGAAATATTGTGAGATAACATACATTGTGAATTGGCACTATACAAATAAAATTGAACAAAATTGAATATAATGATCTTACAGAATATAATACACCCCTTCTTCTTCATACTAGCAAGGCTGGTGCTAACACTTTCCTCTTAGCACGGCACTCTTTGCAAAGATGTATTTGCAACAAGTGTTCAGCCCCACTGGAAGTTTTGAAAACTCTGCCTATTTTGCTCATTAATCCATGACACAAGCTGTGCGCAGAACCCTGCGGCAAGGGTAGCACATACCACTATGAAAGGGGCATGACAAAATATTGAAAAACCTGGTAGTCTACATCCCACATGTTTAACCAAGACTGTCATTTTGATAATGACCCCTACAATGAAAATCACATTTATTTATTTTTTTACTTTTTTAACATGTCTTTTTGGTGTATCATGAGTAAAATAAGCAGTTAACAGAATAGCTGAGCATTTCAACCTTGAAACTGCAGTGTAGCAACACAGTCTCATAACAAACAGCTCCTGACAACCAGGGTTTCATTAGTAACAATTGTATACAACAAGTCCTATCATCTTGGGGGGCTGGGGTTTTCAACATTATTTTTTCTTAATTACAATTGATTTTCTGTGGCATACAGTAGTTTCACAGTGAGTAGAGTTACAGGTTAGATGATGTGCTTAAGCTGTAGCAAGCAGAGGAGAGAAGGTAGAAAAAGAAGTGACTTTACAAATCTGTATATTAGATCACTGTTGCTTCCTCAATCAAGAGGATTCAGCAGTGGAGAGTTACATCTAAGTCATTGAGCAGTGAGAGGGGCTATGAAAACAGTTTGTAAAACAATGTTGGTAAGAGATAGATTTCAGTAACTGTAAAGTCCAGCAACTTCAGTAATCCAGCTATTATAGTCTATTGCTTACCTATCATTTGAAAATAAGTGTTATCATATAGACCATCACAAGTTGTGATGTAGTTCCTTGTTGATCCAAATAAACAATCTGATGCTACATGTGAACGAGGGGTCATAAATTTAATAGTCTGATTCACTGGGTGTAGATTGTAAGGAAGGAGTACTGGGACAGACCTACTTGCTTCTTTCCGTGAATGATTATAAAGATCTGCAAGTTTATTCTACAAAAATATGTTTACAACAACATTTTACACCAGTATTTGCTGTTTATCAGGAATGTTCTGGCATGTTTGCTCACTGGTTATACAAAAAGATTTCCTTTCTAAGCATGTTCCAACAACTTTCCTTGTGACACTATTTTTGCATGAGCAGTGTCGTTACATTCTTGGGCTTAGCCCCACCCAAGTGGATTGTTAAAGGTAGACAAACAAGTCAGTTTTCAAAAGTGTTTTATCACATTCTGTGTGTAAATGTCACTCCCAGAATTTAGTGCAGTAAGTCAAACAAGCTGATTAGAATTTACCAACAACCAGCTGTGCTCCCTGTAGTCCAAGAGTATCCTGGATTGCAGAAGGTCAGTAAGTCGTTTTCAATGGTTAATCATACCAAGTCCAGCAGATACTGAGCAGGTATAATACCTCATATACAATATTTGAACACACTTTATGACAAAAATGATTGCTAAAATGTATTGCCCATAGAGAGCTCAACCTGATATTAAAGACTGATTAAAAAAAAAATAAATAAATTAAAAAGTGTGGAAACATAAAGTTTGCCATGCATCACACACTGTATGCATAGAAGCCATGCATGAGCAGCAACAGCCACAAATCCACCTCTGATATATTCTGACAGTGGACCGAATGATTCTGTGCCTTTACACAACGCTTTACGACACAACCTGAAGCCCTGCACCTCCCTCCTTCGCACTTCATCCCTTGTTTCCATTCAGCATACCCTCCATTTCCAGCCTGATGCACTGTATATTTCAGCATTTTCCCCTGTGGCAACGGGGGGAGGGGGCTGGCTGTAAAATTGAGGGGCTTCCTACATGGACAATTTGTTGCCTACAATATTTAGACCGGGGATGTGGTCTGAAACTTTTTTTTTTCTTGTTTTTGTCTTTCTCTCAACAGAGGTCTTTCTGCAGTGCCATGGTGGACGAACTGCGGGTTTCCCTCAAGTGCCAGCGTCGGCTCAAACACAAGCCCCAGCCGCCTGTCATGGTGAAAACCGAGGAGGTCATCAACATGCACACCTTCAACGACCGAAGACTGCCAGGGAAAGAGACCATGGCCTAAAATGGGAATCTCAATCACTTTCTCATCCTCTTTCCTGTACTGATGTGGTGTGCAAAGACACTGGGGAAAAGGGGGTGGGAAAATGGTAAAGGGGGTGGGGGGGCAATGGGTTGTAATGGTTGGCAGTTGAATTAATTTGAAGATAGAGCAGAGTTACTTAGTAGTATATCAGTATATTGATGAAATGTCATTATTGTTTCCTTATAAATAGCTTGAGATATGAGATTCAACAATATTTCCTGTGGAAATAATTTGAACCTGGATGAAATTTCTGCGAGTTACCTCATTACTCTGACCACCTTGGCAAGGCAGCAAACTACAGGTGCCAGGATTTTCAAAACCCAGGTGTTGAAGAGAGACGTCTGGAAATGAATCCGAAGTGGGACAGAGGTGGTCCCTTTAAGAAAAGGCAAAAGAATTGGACCTATCATCAGTAGCTTTTGCTTAGTCAGTCTTTCATTGCACAGCTCAAAACAGGATGGCCAAGCACTAAGAGCATCTCAGAGGTTGCAAGCATACATAGAGATGCTACCTGGATGAGTTGGGAGAAGAGTTTGTGAAGGATTGTTTATTTACAAATGTTATGAATAGAATGACCACATGGGCACTTAATAAAATTTAACTCAAACCCTAAAGATTATGGTGAGCTCAGTGCTCCCAAAATGTACAGAGAGGCTTTGGTTAGACACTTATATTGACTGACATAAAAAATGAGAATACTGTATATCATCCATCAGGCAATAAGTGATATAATTTATTTGCGTTTCAGAGTACTAACACTTTTGGTCTTTATTAATAGAGGGGTGGAGGCAATTTTTAGAACTTATATGGTGAAATTCAAATAGAGAAAGCAGACGTAGGGGCAATAGAGTGTGCTGTGAATGTCCATGGATCAGCCAAAAGTCACAGAGGATTCTATGGAGGTATGGTGCTTTCAGACAGTGAGTGGCTGCCATCATTGCCAGCTGCAACAGCGGCATTCTCTGTTTCAAATCCTTGTGGCAGTACCTTATTGCTCCCACCTGCCTCCGATCCTACCATCCTGTATACTGTGTAATCTCATCAAACAGCTTTACAGAGTGGATTGTAGCTTAAAACAGAGGAATGATAAGCAATATGACATGATCAAAAAGATAGTAATACTGTAACACTGAAAGTTTTGCTAATTTGTAACATAAACAATACCACCAAGTAGTCAGATGTTTAAGCTGATCTGGTGAATGGCACACTTCTACGAGTGAAGAAGTGTGCCATTCAGATGTCTCAGTACCTGTAGAATTCACTCTAATATTGTTTTCCTCTCTGTGGTGTCTCTTGTTGCCATGGTCACACAGTAATCAGCGACGACAGCAGCACAGAGCTGTGCACATCCACAAGAGCAGTAGCTGCCATGTTTACATTGCAAACAATGGAGGCATCTGCTTGCTGTCTGAAAACATCTCTGTCACTAAGAAATAACTTGGATGATGTGGGCATGGCTCACCAAGTATAAATTCACAGCAATCACACAACACACAAACTCTATTTATTCAAAATATTTATTGTTTTATTTATGAAAGTCTTTATTTATATATCTATGGACTGGATTTTCACAGCTGCAGTGAATTCACCTCACTTCAACTCTGTATGGGTACACACAGTTGTTGTTTCTGTTTGTTTGTTTTTTGCTCAGTGTCAAGTCTCCAGTTTCATTTTGTACTTCTGTGGCTTTTTTTCTTTTCTTTGGCAGCGACGCTCCACATTTACTTGTGCAAATGCAATTTCTATGAAAAAGTGTTTTTGTACGAAGAGACTCAAAATTTTGTAATGATTTTTATCAACACAAAACACACAACGAGGAGTGTCATCCATGGCAAAGGGGTGGTACTCCAGGCTGGTAGTGCAGGACGCTTTCCTAGAAACTAGACAGAGCCGACAAACACACACACCTAAGAGTGAAAGATGCACCCATCCTCCATGGAGCAGATTCACGTCAATTAGTGCTCTACTCTCCAGAAGAGATGCAGTGTATTCTGCTAAAGCATTAGTGGCATAATGTTGTTTTGAAGAAGAAGAAAAAGTAAACTATTTTTATCATGTATAGGAATCATATTTAAAGAAAGATATTTTTACCGCACATGGAAGGAAAGTAGTGAAAAAACTGGTTAGAGCAAATGTATACTGTACACACAGGTAGGAAGGAAGCTTGTTGATGATGCTTATCATTCTACAGCCCATATTGCTGATAGAATGCAAGAATCCAGTGCTGAACAGTCGTGTGTAAATGGTTTAAAAAGGAAAATGATGTATTTAAAAAATAAAAATAAAAAAAAGAACCCTTAACTAATTTTGAACTTGTTGTGAAAACAAAATTCAGTGCACACAGTTTACCCTTTGAAGTTGATGCACAAGTTTAAAGAAAATAAAAAAGTATTCACAACTTTGTCTGTCTCTTTATTAAATGTTAGTGCATGATTGAAAGATGGCAAGATAACAATGGGGAAAAAAAGGCAGCACTAAAAAAAAAAAGAGTTCTGACTTCTCTTTTAGAATAATTCTGATTTTATATTCAGACAACAAAGTCAGAATTTGAATGTTATAAAGTGTAAGCTGTAAAAATATCTTAAAACCAAGCATGTGGGCTGTCTTAAGGATGGGATGGAAGCAGGGCATTGTTCTGAAAATCACATTTGGTAAGATTGTGTAACACATAGAGGAGCATCTATATTTAGTACAACCACCGTGCTGATTATAATGAATAGTGTATCTGCAGAAATAAAGGCTGATCGGGGTAATTCATTGAACACTATGAAACTCCCTCTTAGTTGTTTACAATTTCAGGAAAGCTAAAGAACATTCAAGTGTGTTCAGTTATCTTCTCATCCTGCTATAAAGCATCTTTTCAGCAATGGAAACTGGTTACATGCTTTGAAGTTCACTCAGCAGAGACTAAACCATTTGACGAGGTCACTGCATAACTAATCCCTGACCTCTGTCAAGGATTTTGTTTGAAGCTCACCACAATGACTCAGCACAATGTCAACCAATCAGATTAAATCATCTATCCTTCTTGCCCTGACCCTAAGGAAAGCATGCTGTGGGAGATCCAGCCGAAGGTTACGTTGAACACATTTGTACTTAGTTTTCTGCCCTGGTGGTCTGGAGAGGACTGCGGCTGACTTTGGCTTCATATGTGTCTGACAGCAGACTGACCCTGGAATTAGAGCTCTATCAGTGCATATTTGTGGTGTTTCCATTTACCTATCTACTGACCGCTATACTATAGTTTGACTTTTGGTAAGGGAACAGGGCTCTTCCATCACCCAAAACATGCAGGTGCTTCTGAATTTCATATTAATATCATAAAGAACAGAATGACGTTTCACTCACTTGCACCGTTCAGAGGTGGATTTATACTTATTTATTACTATAACCTCTAAATTTCAAGTGAATTATTGTCTTTGGTTATGAAAGGTTTCTCAGGCCACAGGCCCCACATAAGACAGGTCTGTCTGTCTGTCTGTTTGTTGAATTCTTTTATTGGTTTATTTATTTTAAATCCCTTTCTTACACCAATCACATCAACAAATGTATCACAAAAATCTGGGAACTTCAGGTGCTTCTTAAACATTACCTTTTGATAGTCTCTCTCATGGATTCAATTCAGTTAAATTCTATTTTATTTATATAGGGCAAATCCACAACATATGAGTTAGTGACATCCCTCTTTTAGTGCAGAGGGAAGGAGTCTGAGGGGAGGAGCCAGGCATGTCTCATTTACATGTCATTTATTGTGTGTGGCCTTGGGGCAGCCAAGTATCCCATGATGCATTTCACACCAACAGCAGCAAAGGCCAAGGAGGAAATTTTCCTAGGTAATAAAAGTTTTTGTCAATACTACTGGTATTGTGACACAAAATGTACCTTTAAAATTATTGTCGTAGTTGTATAAATGCCAAATATGTGGTCAATTGATCAAGAAAAAGCCTGCTTAAAAATGTGCTCCAATGATTTCAGAGATGTGAGCGTCCTGGTTAGACAGCCCTGACATGCCATCAGCGCTCACAGTAGCCTGCTGAGAGCAGTCTTATCTCAGCAAGACTTTTTGAAATCTGCCGCTGGCTCTGACAATTCTGTTGCGGTTAAACAGGGATTACGTAGTTTTGCGTTTATCTAACGGTCACAGTTTGGCCTCACAGTGTAATTTGTTTATTGTTCACAGGCAAATTGGTTTGAATTAGGTCAAAGTCAATTTTCAGAACTTTATATTGTTTTTCAATGTTGTACTCGATCATTGAATTTGTACTTCGTACAAACCTGTAGTACAACCTTGTTCTATCCCTTTGACTGTAACTGTGCACTGAAAATAACATTTAAGCAATATTTTATTGGAGGGACAACAGGATAAACCCAGGTCCTCCCTTACTGCTGGGAGATTCCACAGAACATCAGCAGCTCTGGACCTTCTGACAAAGCATCTTTAGCAGCATGATGATGTTAATAGAAACTGAAGGCTGACCAGCTCCACTAAAGAATATCAGGAGGCACAATGTTTTTTTGTTTTTTTTTTTCATCTGTGCTCTGCACTCTTAAAACTACATTTTGTGTCACAATTACAGTAGTATTTACATAAAACTTCTCTTATCTTTGTAGGTTTTCTTGTTGGCCTTTGTCACTGGTTGGTGTGAAATGCAGCATGGAAGACTTGGTTACCCCAAGGCCACACACAATGGAAATTATATGTAAATGAGGCACTCTTGGCCCCTTCCTTCAGACTCCTCCCCTCCACACCATAAGAGGGACTGAAAGCTGTCACTGAAAACAGGACTTTGAAACATTGTTTAAAATAAACGTTGTCTTTTAAAAATATCCCATTGTCTTCAAAAGCAAAGACATGAAGAAAAATGAAGAAAAAATTAAAATTGTTTCAATGACAAATTCTTTTTTTTCATTGCCAACCTATACTGTCTCTGTTTTAGCCCCATAGTTTCTGAGATGTCTTGGGCCAAATACAACAACTT